AGAAAGAAGTAAAATCAAACATTTAGAATTATCTTCGTTTTAGCAATATAGGAATGCATATCTTGTCCGATGCTATGTATGACCCACTGTTACCCAGATAGCTAAAAATATATCGATAATGTTCGGTGCCATTTAGAGTTCTCTCGTAGGGTATTATTTAACTTAAATACTGTCGAGCAGTGGTTCTCAAACTTTTTCTCTTGGACGCATTTTCGGAATTAAAATTTACTCGCTACCTCACCAAATTTTATGTGATAAAATGTACATTAAAAACAAACAGCAAAATCATAGAAGGTTAAAGGGAGATAACTAGGGTTTCGAAGTCAGAACATTATCATTGATAACTCTCCTCTCCAATTTGCAGAGCCTAGTTACTATATTATTAATACTTGATATAATGCAAGAATATCACAATGATAAAACTGGTCAATTTTTATTCATAACTAGTTTTAATGGAACTCATGCATGCAATTACAAGAAACACATAATAATATTTTAAATTTTGAAATTATATTTATTTTGGCATATGAATTCTTTGAAACTGTTTCTAAATATTTGATTCTTTTTCATTCAATCCGCCTCACCTGCTATCCTCTTACGTCACAACTATGAAGCACGCCACAACTTTTGGGAACCATTGCATAATACTGGCACTTATAAGCTCCGGATATCACTCTATATTTCTATGAAGTATTGTAATTATTTACACTATTTACAATGTTCAGACTGTTATCCTTATCTTTGTTGCATGTACACGGCATTCCGGGAGTTTTAAGATCCGGCTTTCATCAGTTGATTAAAATTTTGAAATGAACAGTCAAATCCTCATGGTCCAGTGGATAAAAGCGTTGGCTATCCACTGATTTGTCCCAAAGAGTTGTAGATGTAAGATTCGTCAGATATGTAATTACATCACAGGTAACAATTGTTATTGAGTAAAAGAGTGAGTATATAGAGGAAGGCGTGAAAAAAGAGAAAGATCTTTCCAATATCTGAGAATAAAGAATCGAGGATTAGCTATTAAGATGTTAAGCTGATAGCAAGAAATTAAATTAAGAAAAAAAGAATATATATATATATATATATATATATATATATATATATATATATATATATCTGTCTGTGTGTGTGTGTGTAATTATTTATTTAAATATATAATTGCAACGCTACATAAGAGTTCTCATGTTTCAAAACAAGAACCTAAAACTTCAATATAATTATTTGAATTAAATGAAATTAAAAAACATTAAGTTTGTTCCATCTTCAAGCGAAATTTTCTTTGGATTCCCAAAAAATTTCGCTTGAAGATAGAACAGAGCTTGGTAATTTTATTCAATTTAATTCAAATAATTATATTGAAGTTTTAGGCTCTTGTTTTGAAACATGAGAACTCTTATGTAGCGTTAGAATTATATTTTTAAATAAATAAATAATTATATGTATGCTCTACTTTTGTATAGAGCACTATTTTTTAAAAATAATAACAAAAATACTAAAGAACTTTTGGATTATTTACTTAACGAGTTCTTTCCTATTTTCTATATATTTTTTACACAAACACGCACACACACACGCGCGCACGCACACACACACATATATACATATATATATATATATATATATATATATATATATATATATATAATAAAGAATATTTTAAAATAAAAAAAAATCAGCTAGAATAATACTCAAGTATTTAGTAAGAAATAAAAACAAAAGAAAAGAAGCAATCAGGAGCGGAAATGATACTGAAGAAGAGATCTTTTTACATTCTCTCCCCCTTTTGTTTCTGGTAGAAACGATTTCTAGTGAAAACGTGGGAGGTGACATGCTAAAGTTGGGAGAGGCTTCAAAAGATGGGCAGATCACTGCCCTTCGAATGAATGATGGGAAGATGCTGCGCTGACAGTGCCATTCGGTGCACAGTTTTGCTAAATCAATAGCATTTCGTCATTAAGTTGAACCGAGTTATCTGACGAAGGAATTTGTTTGATCGTGATGCGAAAACATCAGATTAGGCACCTGTTTTTATCTGTTCAAATTGAAAGCCTCTAAAGGTGGAAACATTTCTTTGAAAATTTAAAAGAAATCGCAGAATTTAGACGTCATAATCGCAATGTTTAATTCAAATATAACATTATTAAATACGATTACGATGTAATATTCTTTATCGTAGATAAATTTAAACGAAATTATGTATGGAGATAAAGTATAGTGGATAAGTTGTTATGTGAAATATATAAATTGTGTCCCTTAATTTTTTGTTAATCATTCAAATCCAAGCAAGGCAAGAATACCGTTAAGAAGCACGGTGTTAGTTATTGTTAGATATGAAGAAGGAACATTTTATTAAGCAGAAAGAACTGCAAATGAACGTGAATTGAAAGACAGAAAATGAAGATTGAAATTGCATCTAAATATTTGAAGATCAAAAAACTGGAAGGGAAAAAGTCAAGTAGCGTTTTACAAGCGAGATATTGTCGACACTGCGTTCTACAAGCAACCTCCTATAATCCGAACTCGGTTTCAACTTTAAATAACCCAGAGACGTATGATGAACCTTAAAAAGCAAATCAATCATTTTTTCTTATAAAAAGACGCCCGCTATGTAGCAGAAAAAGCAGTAGAAAATACTGATTTTCTAAGCGTAGATTAGATGTGTCACAATGCCGAAAGAATGTTGCTCCCAGTGAGGATCGAACTCATTAATCAGTCATAACAGATTTAGTGAGAGAAGCTTGCTAAACATTACAGCACGCCAAGGCGCCCAAGCAATAGAAACTAACGTAGGGACGTGACCCGGCTCAGACGATTAACAAACAAAAACAGTGGTTAATAGCTGTTCAAACACATAAGATACCCTGACAATGTCATGATTGAAAGTTTGAAATTCCAAATAGTTATTAAAATTGGTCTAGTATATTAAATTTGGATATTTTCTCCATAAATTTTCTCCGGATGTGTCACAACACTTTGGTAAACTCGAAAATCACAGAGTAAATACAGAGAATGTAGAAATACTTAACGTTTTAATAGATATATTAAAACAGCTGTCCATATTTTGATTAACGCAGATAAAGGAGACTATTAGAAATAACGTATCTATTTATTATTACTCAATTAGTTAGCCAAAGAGAACACGGCGAAACGCTTAAGCGTTAATTAATTTTCAGCCATATCTCATCATCTACGTATATGTACATAATATGATAAAGTTAATTTGTATTCCGTATGGATTATCCCAGGGAGGACATAAATCCCGAGAGATCAATGTTATAACAGAGAAAATGATAATTAATTAATCTGAGATTTCAGAAAGCTATGGTAATTTTGAAACAACCAGGTCTGCACAAGCGATATCAGATTCTAGATTTTGCGAAATAAAATATTATCATGCCTTTATGAAGTCTCCAATTTATTAATTACATATATAGACATCCCATATCTCTGTCGGTGCGTGTATGTGTACATGTTTACAAATCTCTCTCTCTCTCTCTCTCTCTCTCTCTCTCTCTCCCTTGTGTATATATATATATATATATATATATATATATATATATATATATATAATGTACATGTGCATGTATCCGCATTGAAAGGGATCATATTGTATTATTTTTATTTTTTTTATTTTGTTTTCATGGCTACAGGTGTAATTTTCCTACAAGTCTCTGTCCTTTGACTATCATGTCTTTGAGTGAAAATTTAAAAATATATTTTTTAGCGGCTAGTAGGTTGAGAGATGACCAGAAAAGTATAATTTTTATTCCCTTGCTCCTACCCCTTTGTTTAATGAATTCTTTGATATCCCCCCCTAACAATCTGTAGTTTAAGTCCAGCCTACCCCATAAACTTTGATAAGTATCTGTCGTTAGCGAGGGAAAATTGAACATTTGTGGAAAGTCACTTGTGCCAGGCTCCGAACTTATAAGAAACGGTAAATGTACCATTTTTGAATGATACTTTTCCTGTAGTTTGATATGATTCTAAATCCTTTTGAGTCAAGTTAATTCTTTCCTTTTCAGTTCCCTTTTCTCTTTCCTTTTTTTTTTTAAAGTCTATATACTAAAATCTGATTATCCCCCTCATCTCTACCAATTTCAATGAATACGAATATTATTTCATACCAGATCGGCCGTCAACCGGGACAACAAGGGCCGCGTCCCTCAAAGAGGAACCAGTCTGAGGACGAAAAGTCTGTCACTGGAACAAACACTTTGACACACGAAGAGACAGTAGGTCACCAAACACGGATTATTGCCAACGTTGGACAAAGTGACTCAATACCAAATCGACTAATAAAAAGTAAACGAACGAAATGGAGCCGCGAAGAGTATCGACAAGTCATGACATCCTTCTTCACTGCACTCGAAAACCCAGTAAAGAACACCACTAATCAAACATGCCAAATTTTTTTGAAAGCATTTCACTCCAAGCAAGGCGTGAAGCCACTAGGAGGCAAGGGGTTACAGAAAATTTAGAGCAAGATCAGATAGGAGTGATAGAAGAAAGGATGAGGGTAGTGGATAGATCAAGGCAACTGGAGATATCGACTGACATTAGACTTGAATAGCTGGAGATTATAGCTCACAGGGAAACAGGAGAAGGGAAGGGATGCCAGCCTCGTAGGGCGCTGGAACTCATGACGTCTGGGAACCAGGGAATGCAGCTCCTGGGAGCAATTTTCATGAAAGTATTTGTGGACAGACAGAGGGAGGCGACGGCGCGTCTGTGAGAAAGTGACTGTAGACGAAACGCCAGGGAAAGGCCAACCACATTGCATATCCTCCTCTGGAGCCTTTCAAGAACCCCGAGGCAAACAGAAGGGGCACCAGACCATATATGGCAGCAATACTCCATGCAAGGGCGAATTGTGGATTTGTAGATCTGGAGGATCGACTCCGGGGAGAAAAACTTCCTAGCGCGGCTCAGGGAGACAACGTTCCTCGCAGTGGACGAGGCAATTGACTCAATGTATTTATTCCATCTCAGGTCAGCAGTCAACGTGAGACCGAGAAGCCGCAGAGAAGTTGAGCGTCAGACATTCTAATGGAGGGAAGGGAAGGCTCTCTGTGGTGATTAATGGAGAGCAGTTTTGTCTTAGAAAAGTTGAAGTTGACCAGCCAATTCATGCCCCAGTTCACAATCGATTGGAGGTCCTTTTCGAGACGCACGGTCAGGTGAGTTTTGTCAGCGAGACTAGATTTGTTTTTGAGGCAGGAATAAATTGGGGTGTCATCCGCGTAGATGCCAACTTGGGAAGTTATGGCGTCAGGAAGGTCATTTATGTAGATAAGGAATAGAGTGGGGCCTAGGATGGAGCCTTGAGGAACACCTGCGTTCGTGGGATAGGAACTGGAGGAGAATCCGTTAAGAACGACCATCAATTCAAGGTTTGACAGGAATGATTGTATTAGGTTATATAATCGACACGTAATGCCATAACCCTGGAGCTTGCGAAGAAGGCCGGCATGCCAAAACCTATCAAATGCTTTGGAGATGTCTAGTGCCACGGCTCGGGCTTCCCCGTTATTTTGGAGAGCTCGGTAGACTGTTTCAGTGATGGCTGTAAGCACATCGGCTGTAGATCGGGCAAAGCGGAAACTATATTGCTTGTCTGAGAGCAGATTATGGGATGTGAGGTGGTTAATCACCCCGGTATTGATTAAGGCTTCGAAGACTTTGCCGAAGAGGGGAAGGAGACTGATAGGACGGTAGTTGGAAGGGTCAGAGGGGTCGCCGGAGTTCTTGAAGACAGGAATGATCGAAGAAGACTTCCAGCAGTCAAGAAAACAAGATTCCTTGAGGCAGTAGTTGTATAGTTTCGAAAGGGCGGGCGCCAGTCCAGGCGCGCATTTCTTCAAGACAATGGCTGGTATCCCGTCTCCACCACTAGCCTTGTTGGGGTCTGAATTGGAGATAACGGCCAGTGCCAAAGATGGGGTTATGTTTAATCCACTCAATATGGCCTCAGTTCTAAGAGGGAAGTCGGTATGGGTACACCGGAAGAGTCGAGCTCGAGTTTAATGAAAATTTCCGAGCAAAGCATTCAGCCTTGTCGGTAGAGGAGGTCAGGACTTCGAACTGGTTCAATAAATGAGGTTTTGCAATTGTTCAATACGCTCTTGCAGAGACACCAATAATCTTTGGAGCCAAATTTGCGAGATGCAATACGTTCCTTCATTCGAGCCGCAAATAGTGACTTAGCATCGTTGAGGACACGCTTACATTCGTTACGGGCGGAGGCAAAGAGACGTCTATTGCAGTCAGACATGTCCCTACGGAATAGGTGGATATAGTGGTTCCTATGGGAAATGGCGGATGAGCCACAGCCGAGAACCGGGGGGAGCGACTTGACCCTATATTTCCTTGATGAGATGAAAGCGTCGATTCAAGCTTTAACCCAGGAAGAGACCTCAGAAGCACATTCTTGGACGGGGAGCTTAAAGACTCCATCCCAGAAGACATCGCGGAGGAAATCACGGAACGCGTCCCAGCCAGCTCGTTGATAGTAGAACGAAGTTCTAGTGGTAGGAAGTTCTTTATAGGGGGTGGAGTTAAAGGAGATGTTATGGAGAAGTACGTTAGGAAATGATATAAGACATAACCTCAATCAAAACATGCTTGTCAATGTCTGTAGGGACATCATGCGAAACAACAGACTCTCAAAGGCAGAAATATATAAGATAAAATTAGATGTAAGACAAAATACTATGATCCATCACTTAAACTCTATTGAGACGAATGTAGAAATAAGGAATGCGACAGAGGATGAGGTGGACGCTAAAGCGAATGAAATACGAAATAATCTCCCAGGAAATGAAACCCAAGACTCTACCTTAAACACAACCTGCAATTCTCCAGAAAATGTACCTGGAGTCATCTTCAGTGACAATAAGTTAGAATTCCTTGAAAACCACGAAGCTGAAATCACCGAAGCGAAAAATGACGTCATCCAAGTACTCAGCAGAGTAACTTTCATACAATTGTCAGACAGAGACCGGCTCCTGAAAATCCATATGTCGAATTCCAAAAAGAACATCGTGAAAACATACAATTCTGCTCTGGAAACACTGTTAACAGATAAACAACCGGGAAACATCACAGAAGTTAGCAACATCATATACGCAACAGCGTTAGCAGCGACTCGGAAGCTTGGAGTCAAGACAATAAATAAAATTAACAGACACAGTGAACCAGCTTGGAAAACCAAACTGATACGATAAATAAAACAAATCAGATGTGAGCTTTCTATATTAGATGAGCTCACCAGAAACCCTAATATGTCCACACGTAAATGCAAAAAGATCAAGCGGAAATATAACATTAAATCCCTAATTGATATTCCATCAATCAAAGAAATGCTGAAGCAGAAACTTCAGCTAAAGGCGCAGAGAACAAGACGATACGAAAAACGTTGTAGGTTCTATCGCCAAAATAAAATATTCCGAACAGATCTTAAGAAATTTTACGGGGAAATTGGAAAAACACCTATACATGTCGAAAGGCCACTATCGATTGATAATGTACAGACATTTTGGGAAAATATTTGGAGCAGCCCAAAGGAATATAACCCAAATGCAGAATGGATACGGCGTGAAGAAGAACGACTACTGGATACACCTCTGCAAGAATGGGAAAATATATCCACAGATGATGTTAGGCAAGCTCTAACGAAATCCCCAAAATGGAAATCCTCAGGAAATGACAAGTTGCCCAATTTCTGGCTGTATCATTTCACATCTACCCATGAAATTCTTGCAAAAACATTATCAACGCTTGTAAATAATCCCAATAAAATCCCGGAATGGATTACTGAAGGTATTACACACCTCATACCAAAAACAACTGAAACAGACGACCCGAAAAATTATAGACCGATAACATGTCTCTCCACAACGTATAAGTTGATCACGTCTGAACTGACGAACCGTACTTATTCCTTTCTCGAAACAAACAGCATTCTCCCCCTGGAACAGAAGGGATGCAGAAGTGTTTCATATGGCTGCAAAGATCAACTTCTGATAAATAAAATGATCCTGGAAAATTGCAGGAGACGACGCAGGAATCTAAGTGCAGCGTGGATTGATTATCGTAAAGCCTTTGATAGTGTTCCACATTCTTGGATCCTTAAGACTTTGGAAATATACAAAGTCTCCCCTGTGGTATTAAATTTCCTTAAGCACAGCATGGGAATGTGGAACACCAAACTATACATTAGTCACACCGGGGGCACTGCCATATCCAACCGTCTGAGTATCCGACGTGGAATCTTTCAAGGAGACTCTCTGTCACCCCTTCTGTTTTGTTTATCCTTAATCCCTCTTACACATGAACTGAACAACAGTAGCTATGATTACAAAATAAATAAGAAAATATTCAATCACCTACTCTACATGGATGATCTCAAACACTTTGCCAAAGACGACAATGAGTTGAAAGGCCTCCTCAATATTGTAAAATACTTCAGTGACGACATAGGTATGGATTCGAATTAGAAAAATGTGTAAACGTCACATTCAAGAAAGATAGAATTACAGAAACACCCTAAATAGATTTAGATTTTGTCACAAAGATTAGCATGGTGAAGCTTATAAGTGCCTAGGAATTAGCGAAGGAGATGGCATACAACACCCCCAAATAAGGGAAAAAATAAGAAAAGAGTACTACAGACGTGTACGTCTGGTACTAAATACTGAGCTAAACTAAAAAAAAAACAGCCATAAACACATTGTCTGTCCCTGTGGTGCAATACAGCTTTAATGTCCTTAACTGGAACATAGCTGAAATTAAGCGAATGGACGCCAAAACGAGAAAAAAATCTTCTCACTTGCTATCGCAAGCATCGTCCCAAAGCTGATGTTGATCGTCTGTATGTGCCCAGACCCGAAGGAAGCAGAAGATTAGTTCAACTAGAACTGTCCTACAAAACTACAACAATTGGCCTCCAAAGATACTTGGAAACTACAGAAGACTGGATGGTGGTATGCGTCAAGGAACATGAAAGTAGTAAGCGTCTTTACTCCGTAATGAAAGAAGCCAACAAATTAAAAATGGAGTTTCAAATGGGCGTAGAGATGCAACTACAGCACAATACACCGGCTGAAACTGCAAAATACTTTAAAAAGACAGCAAAGACGAATGCAACCGACCAGATACACAAGCGATGGCAAGATAAACAACTTCATGGCCAATACTCTGCCCGTACCAAACAAGCTGACGTAGACAAAACCCGTACTCATCAGTGGCTACGTCGTGCAGGGTTGAAAGCGGAAGCTGAAGGTTTTATCCTTGCTTCGCGGGACCAATGCTTGCTGACTAGGAATTATCAAGCACATATACTAATATATTGTGTCAGCCCAAAATGCAGATTTTGTGATAAATATCCAGAAACGATTGATCATCTTGTATCAGGTTGCACGATGTTGGCACCCACTGAATATAAAACCCGACATGACAGAATGGGCAAATATCTGCACTGAAAAATCTGCAACTTCTACGGGACGGAAACTGAAAGAAACTGGTATGAACACAACCCAGACCCGGTTACGGGGATAGGACCTGTTACAATTCTATGGGATTACACAATACAAACTGATAGAACAATCAAGGCTAACCGCCCAGATATTGTTATTAAAGACCACAAACAAAAACGGTGTCTCCTTATTGATATGGCAGTCCCTGCTGATTGCAAAAGCTGTCAAAATACAAGGACCTTGAAATAAAAATCTCGAAAATGTGGCATATGTGAACATCAACAATCCCTGTTGTAGTTGGAGCCCTAAGACTGATTGCAAAAGATTGCAGTAGACTAATTGAAGGGATTCCTGGAAGACCATGCCTCAAGGAGATACAAAAAATTGTTCTGAGAAGTACAGCCCACACTTTACGAAGGGCTTTATCTATGTAATTTTTTTTCTTTGTCAGTGGAAAGTGTCATGATGCCATTTCTAACCTTAAGTCCCTCGGTGGGAACCGGAAAGTAATGTGTAAACGCCAGAAATCAAACAAAATAAAAAATAATAATAATTTAAAATGTTAATCCGTATGGAATTTCCAATAGGATAAAGATCCAAGGTGATCTCTATCAGACCACAATTATTAATTAATGAATATCAAACGCTTAAAATACAATAGGTATAATCTCTACTTCAGGAAAGTTATAAAAATAGGCTTCAATCTTTCAGACCTGCAGGCTTGAAATAGCCTTCAATCTTTCAGACTGGCAACGCTGAATGACTGAAGCTAGTTTCATGAAGAGTATTACCGAGAGTATTTTAAGTGTTTGATATCCATTATTTAATATATATATATATATATATATATATATATATTATATTATATATATATCAATTTGACATCAGTCGGAGTCTCTCAGCCTTAGGCTATCAACGGAAGAATGAATTTGTTAACACATTATGTAAGAGATATGAACAGTCTCGTATACAAATAGAGCTCAATTATAGCGAAGATCTTTTAAAGTTAATTAGCAGCAGCCAAGGAATTCCTTCTCTTCCAAAGTGCTAGACCTACAGGATGGGGATATATATATATATATATATATATATATATATATATATATATATATATATATATATGAAATATTGATAATGAGTGTGTAATATGAAATACTTGTAGGTTTCGAACTACGCATGATAGAAAAAACACCTCTAAAAAAGATTTGTGTATATAAATTTATTACTGTCCACCATAATTTGGCATACAAAGATTACTACGATTCACTTGTTCTTGAAAAAGATTTTGCAGCTGATTTTCAGTAATACCTGCTTATTGACCTTGCCATTAATTTGGAATGTTTCTTTCTAAGAAAACATTAAATTATAAAAAAATGAATATTCAATATTCATCCTTTTCACTAAACTGATGGCAAGGATGCTCGGCGTGTATGATAATCCAATAATAAAATCATTTGATGCATTTGAAGTTTTTACGCTTTTATGCGAAGCTTTTGTTCGTAGAATCTTATCATGAGATGTTGAAAGCCTCATCTATAAAGATGCCTGTTTAATATCTGAAAAAAAAAGGCTTGAACTATGCATGCTACAGTGTGTTCACCACCACATGATCTAATATACCCTGGTTTACCATTGACGGAACCTGTCTCTTTAATTTTTTTAATCCAATCAGATCTAGAATTCCTGTGTAGTCCTTCTTTATTGTAAAGAATACTAATTGTTTTATGGACAGTCAATCAAGGGAAGCTATATTGGGTTATCAGTTATAGTGAAGTATATGAGTGTTGAAACAGATTAGTTTGATTTGGTCTTGTTAGTTAGATAGCCCACCATAAGACGGGTATAAAACAAGAAAATCAAATTGTAAAGTGAAACAACATATTTATATACATATAAATCAATTAAGTTCTTTACAAATAAAATTAATGCATTTTGGTTGATACAAGGTTGTCAAAATATTCGTAGTAGTACTTGCAAGAATGAGTTTATGTG